GTTTTGGGATCCAATTTCGGCTACGCGTCGCTCGTTGATCTATTTGGGAGTTACAGTTGCTGTCTTTTATTCCCCCCGGTAGGTTCCGGGCGGTCTGCCCGGATCAGGCTGTGGGAGGAGCCAGGGTCTATCAGGCCGGATATGGTTCATGTTAGAATGTCAGTGGAGCGACGAGGGACGGCACGTAGGGAGAAGTGGATGAGACTGGGGTGGTGATATTTGATGGGGGCTCACCTCTTCTGGTTCCGCTCCAAGGCCCTCGTTGGCCACGTCGGCCCCGCCAAGTCCAACGTCCGGGTCGGCGGGAGTTGGCTGTACTTCGCGGTGGTGCGTATCGGGGAGTTCCAACATGGAAAGAATAAGGTGTGTGAGGGGACTGCGCTCCGCTCTGGCGGGCTATTGTTGCGTCGCGTCTCTTCAACAGTTCGACCCTTTCAACGGCTTCGTTTAATTCTTGGGGGTGTTGAAGATAGAACTCTTTTTGGACGCTGGTGGATGATGTGCCCTCGACAAGTTGTTCTAGGATCCGCCGATCGCGTTCAGAGCTGGACAGGTTTGGAAATGCGCGGTCTGCTGAATGTCGCAGAGTTCGAACGTAGGCGCGGACGTTTTCGTCAGCCAGTTGCCGGCGGGAGTGAAACTCCCTCCGGTACTCCATCACTAGTTTGGGGGTGTCTAAGAGTTGTCGAATCCCCTTAAAGGTGTCGTCTGTTACCTTGTCATCTAGAATTCGGAATTCGGAGACAATATTGAATGCTTCGCCAGTGAGCAGGCTATACACCAGGTCGGCGTGTTTCTCATGTGGAAAGTGTCGAAGGTAGATTTGTGTTTGCTTCTCCCATCGGTTATAATTATTACCGATTGCGAACTTTTCCCGGATTAGGATCGGGGGACACGGTTTTGAAGATTGGCTGTTTGTGGATAAACGGTCCAGAATGCTGAGTAGTGCGGGCATTACATCCGATGGCAGATCAGCTTCGCTTTTCGGTGACCTTTCGGAGTCGCCAGAAGGTTTTCCTTGGATTTTCATCCTGGCAGGGTCGAAATTTTGTAGTATACACCAAAGAGGGAGAAGACTTGAAGATCTTGAACGAAGTTATAATAATACCAACGTAGCAACACTATAGGGATATAAAGTGATTGTAATATAAAAT